GAATAACAATTAGCCTCCAGACAGAAGCAATTTCTTTATCCTGTTGGAAAATCGCTCAACATACCTGTGGACAGTTGCCTGAGGGCTACTCAAGACTGAATCCAATTAATCTGCAGGCAAAGGTGGGACTCTGGAGGCTTTGAGTCTTTGCCTAATCTAAATTAGTCAGAAACAGTGTTTGACACCATCCTGCACTAGAGATTGGGAAGTGTAGTAGATCTATCTTATACATAGTCACAAACCCAAACAGGTAGCCAAAGTGGGGAGACAAAAAAACAACCCCCAAATAAAAGAACAAAAGAATTCTCCAGAAGAGATAAATGAAATGGAGATAAGAAATTCATCTGATAATAGAGTTCGGAATAATAATGGCAAAGATGCTTAACAGCATGAAAAAAGATATATAACTATGTATATAAAAGCCCAGAGAACAATGGGTCGCTCTGACATGCTCTGACCACCAGGGGGCCTTCACTCAATGCAGAAGCTGCCCCGTGGTGGTCAGTGCGCTCCCACAGTGGGAGTGCTGCTCAGCTAGAAGCCAGGCTCAACCCCACCCTGCATGAATTTCGTGCATCAGGCTTTAGTGAAAAAAGAACAGTTAGAAATAAAGAATGACAGCACTAATAAAGAACACATTGGAAGGAAGACACAGTACATTAGAGGAAGCTAAGGATCAGTTCAGTGAATTAGAAGACAGGTAGAGAAAAAAAAAAACCATCAGAGATACAAAAAGGAAAAAAAAAACAATTAAAAAACAAGAGGACAGCTTAAGGGATCTATGGAACAACATGAAATGTAACAATATTTGCATAATAAGTGTACCAGAAAGGAAAGAAAGTGAGCAAGGGATAGAGAACTTGTTTGAAGAAATAATGACTGAAAACTTCCCTAACCTAGTGAAGAAAAAAGGCACACAGATTTAGGAGGCAAAGATAGTCCTACCCAAGAAGAATAGACCCATGCCCAGATACATCATAATTAAAATGCCAAAAATTAAAGACACAGAATCTTGAAGGCAGCAAGAGAAAAGCAATTTGTTACCTACAAAGGAGCTCCCAAAAGGCTGTCATAAGATTTTCATCAGAAACTCTATGGGTCAGAAGGGAATGGCATGAAATATTCAAGGTAATGAAATGCAAGGATCTGAAACCAAGATTACTATATCCAGCAAGGAGACCATTCAAACTAGGTTGTGAAATAAAGAGCTTCCCTGACAGACAGGTTAAAGAAGTTTATCACCAATAAGCAGCATTGCAGGAAATGCTCTAAGAAGAAATGAAATAGAGAAACTTAGGCATGCAAAATTAAAATGGCAAAAAATAAGTACCTATCAATATTAAACTTAAATGTAAATAGATTAAATGCTCCAATCAAAAGATATAGAATAGCTGATGGATACAAAAATATGACCCAACTATATGCTGCCTAAAAGAGATCCACCTCAAAATAAAGGACTCACAAAAGGATGAAAGTGAAGGGTGGGAAAAGATCTTTCCATGCAAATGGAAACAGGTGGCAATACTCATATCTGACAAAATAGACTTCAAAATGAAGGCCATCACAAGTGACAACAAAGTTCACTACATAATACTAATGGGATCATTCCAACAAAAGGATATACCCTGGTAACATAAATGTACCCCATATAGGAACACATAAATATATTTAAAATCTTCTGGAGGACTTTAAGAGAAAGATCAACAACAATACAGTCATAGTAGGGGACTTTATACCCTGTTGACTTCACTACATAGATCCTCTAGACTAGGGGTGTCGAACTCAATCAGAGAAGGGGCCAAAATCTAAAATCCAGCCTAAATCGCGGGCCGAATGGTTTACTGAACAGTCATAAACTGTCATTGTGATGGAAACGCAGCGGAGTGCAGTGATGACAGCGCGGTGCGGGCCACATTGCAAGGCCTGGCGGGACGGATTTGGCCCGCGGGCCTTGTGTTTGACACTTGTGCTCTAGACAAAAGGTTAATAAGGAAACTAACTCTAAAGGACACACTGGATCAGGTGGACTTAATTGACATTTATAGAACATTTTACCCCAAAGCTGCAGAATATACATTCTTCTCAAGTCATTCACAAAGGTAGATCATGTTAGGACACAAAACAAGGCTCTATAAGTTCAAGAAGATTGAAATCATATCAAGCATCTTCTCAGACCACAGCATCTTCTCAGAATGAAATTAGAAATCAACTACAGTAAAAACAGCTCCAAAAAGTTCAAACACATAGAGACTAAGTAGCATATTATTAAATAATGAATGGTTTACCAATGAGATCAAGAAAGAAATATAAAACTTCTTGGAAACAAATGAACACACAACTCAAAATCCCTGAGACATAGCAAAAGCAGTGCTGAGAGGGAAGTTTGTAACACTACAGTCCTACCTCAAGAAACAAGAAAAATATAAACTATTGAACCCTACAACTTAAAGAATTTGAAAGAGAGAAGCAATAAAGGACCAAAGGAAATACCCTGTTTCCCCGAAAATAAGACAGTGTCTTATATTAATTTTTTCTCCCAAAGTTGCACTAGGTCTTATTTTCAGGGGATGTCTTATCTTTCCATGCACTAGGTCTTATTTTCGGAGGATGTCTTATTTTTGGGGAAACACGGTAGAAGGAAAGAAATAAAGATCAGAGTAAAAATAAATGACATAGGCACGTGTGTCAAACACAAGGCCCGCGGGCCAAATCCGTCCCGCCAGGCCTTGCAATGTGGCCCGCACCGCGCTGTCATCACTGCACTCCGCTGCGTTTCCATCACAATGACAGTTTATGACTGTTCAGTAAACCATTCGGCCCGCGATTTAGGCTGGATTTTAGATTTTGGCCCCTTCTCTGATTGAGTTCGACACCCCTAACATGGAGACTACAAAAACAATATAAACATCAATTAAACCAAGAGCTGGTCATTTGAAAAGATAACCATGATTGATAAATCATTAGCCAGATTCATCAAGAAACATAGAGGACCCAAATAAGTAAAATCAGAAACAAAAGTGGAGAAGTAACCATGACGCCACAGTAATACAAAGGATTGTAAGCAAGTACTATGATCAACTATATTCCAACAAGCTGGACAACCTGAATGAAATGGACAAATTCCTAGAAAACCTACAATCTTATAAAAACAGAATCAGGAAAAATCAGAAAACCTGAATAGGCTAATAACAACTGAGGAAATTTAAACAATAATTAAAAAAAACTCCCAGCCCTAACCGGTTTGGCGCAATGGATAGAGCGTCGACCTGCAGACTGAAAGGTCCTAGGTTCGATTCCGGTCAAGGGTATGTACCTTGGTTGTGGGCACATCCCCAGAAGGAGTTGTGCGGGAGGCAGCTGATCAATGTTTCTCTCTCATTGATGTTTCTAACTCTCTATCCCTCTCGTCCCTTCCTCTCTGTAAAATAAATCAATTAAAAAATATATATTTTTTAAAAACACAAAATTCCCAGCAAACAGAATCCCTGGTCCAGACAGATTCAAAGGGGAGTTTCACCAGGCATTCAGGGAAGAACTAACACCTGTCTTCATCAAACAACTATAAAAAAATTCAAGAGGAAGAAACATTTCTAAGCTCTTTTATTGATGCAGGCATTATGCTAATTTTGAAACCAGATAAAGATACTACAAAGAAAGAATTACAGGCCAATATCCCTGATGAACATCCTATATAATAAAGAGGTAATATGCAGATTGACTATCCCTCCAACACACAAGATGGCCACCCCCATATGGTCAATGGCCACCACAAGATGGTCGGCAGGGGAAGGCAGTTGTGGGTGATCAGGCCAGCAGGGGAGGGCAGTTAGGAGCAACCAGGTTAGCAAGGGAAGGCAGTTAGGGATGACCAGGCCTGCAGGGGAGGGCAGTTGGGGGCGATCAGGCCTGCAGGGGAGGACAGGGGTGACCAGGCTGGCAGAGGTGGACAGTTAAGAGTGACCAGGCGAGCAGGGAGGACAGTTAGGGGCAATCAGGCAGGTAGGCAGGTAGGCAAGTGGTTGGGAACCAGCTGTCCTGATTTGGCCTGCAGGGGAGGACAGGGGTGACCAGGCTGGCAGAGGTGGACAGTTAAAGAGTGACCAGGCGAGCAGGGAGGACAGTTAGGGGCAATCAGGCAGGTAGGCAGGTAGGCAAGTGGTTGGGAACCAGCTGTCCTGATTTGTGAGAGGGGTCCCAGATTTAGAGATGCAGACTGGGCTGAGGGACACCCGTTCCCCACGCACCGGGCCTCTAGTAGATTCTAAAATCCTCAACAAACTATAGTAAATTGGATCCATCAATATATTAAAAGATCATACACCATGATCAAGTAGGATTTATCTTAGATCCAAGTCTGGTACAATATTCGCAAATCGATAAATGTGATAAATCATATAAACAACTTGAAAGACAAAAATCACATGATTAAACCAATAAGCACAGAAAAAGCATTTGACAAAATCCATCACCAATTTTTGATAAAAAACTCTCAGCGAAATGGGAATAGAGGGAGCATATCTCAACATAATAAAGGCCATATATGATTTTAAATATATATTTTATTGATTTTGTACAGAGAGGAAGGGAGAGAGAGAGTGAGTTAGAAACATCGATGAGAGAGAGTCATCGATCAGCTGCCTCTTGCACACCCCCTACTGGGGATATGCCCGCAACCAAGGTACATGCCCTTGACCAGAATCGAACCCAGGACCCCTCAGTCCCCAAGCCGACGCTCTATCCATTGAGCCAAACCGGTCTCGGCCATAGGTGTACAATTTTAATCCAGTCTCTTCCTGAACCCCCCACACCCCTTTCCCCCTGATAATTATCAATCCACTCCCTTTCTTTGCCCCTAATTCTATTATATTCACCAGTTTATTCTGTTCCTCAGATTTTTAATTCATTTGATTTTTAGATTCACTTGTTGATATATATGTATTTGTTGATCATAATTTTTTATCTTTTTTCTTCTTCTTCCTCTTCTTAAAGAATACCTTTCAGTGCTCGCTTAGGCAGTACATATACCAAAATTGGAATGATACAGAGAAGATTAGCATGGCCCCTGCGCAAGGATGACATGCAAATTCGTGGTGGGGGGGAGAATACCTTTCAGCATTTCATATAATATTGTTTTGGTGGTGATGAACTCCTTTAGCTTTTTCTTATCTGTAAAGCTCTTTATCTGCTTCAATTCTGAATGATAACTTTGCTGGGTAGAGTAAACTTGGTTGTAGATTCTCGCTGTTCATCAATATTTCTTGCCACTCCCATCTGGCCTACATAGTTTCTGTCACCACTTCCCTTTCAACATAGTACTGGAAGGCCAAGCCACAGCCATCAGACTAGGACAAGAAATAAAAGATCCAAATTGAGAAGAAAGAAGTAAAACTCTCATTATTCATAAATGGCATGATATAGTGCAGTGGTTGGCAAACTCATTGTCAAATATCAACAGTACAGCTATTGAAATTTATTCTGAGAAACAAATTTTTTAAACTTCTAATGCCACTTCTTCAAAATAGACTAGCCCAGGCCGTGGTATTTTATGGAAGAGCCACACTCAAGGGCCCAAAGAGTTTGCTGACCACAGATTTAGTGCATAGAAAACCCTGAAGACTCCACCAAAAAATTAGTAGATTTAATAAATGAATTTAGCAATGTAGCAGGATACAAAATCAACACCCAAAATTCAATGGTATTTTTAATACACCAATAATGAATCCTCAGAAAGATAATCTAAACAAGCAATCCCATTTAGCATTGGAACAAAAGTAATATACTTAGGAATAAACTCAACCAAGGAGGTAAAAGACTGGTACTTGAAAAATTACAACATGTTGAAAAAAAGAGAGGAAGATGTGAACAAGTGGAACAATATACTGTGTTCATGGATTGGTAAAATGAACATAATAAAAATTTCGCCGAAACCTGTTTGGCTCAGTGGCCTGTGCACTGAAGGGTCCCAGGTTCGATTCCGGTCAAAGGCATGTAGTACCTTGGTTGCAGGCACATCCCCAGTAGGGGGTGTACAAGAGGCAGCTGATCGATGACTCACTCTCATCGATGTTTCTGATTCTCTGTCCCTCTTTCTTCCTCTCTGTAAAAAATCAATAAAATAAAATAAAAAAGAATAGGTGATATCCTTACATTTAAAATAAATAAATAAATAAATAAATAAATAAATAAATAAATAAAATAATTAAAATGTCCATACTACCCAAGACAATCTATAGATTCAATGCAATCCCTATTAAAATACCAACAGCATATTTCACAGATACTGAACAAATAAAAATTTATACAGAACTAAAAAAGAACCAAATAGCCACAGCAATCTTGAGACAGAAGAACGAAGTTGGAGAAATCATAGTACCAGATATCAAGTTATACTACAAAGACACCACAATCAAAACAGCCTGGTACTGGCACAAAACAGGCAGATAGATCAGTGGAACAGAAAAGAGACCCCAGAAATCAAACCAAGTTATTCCGCTCAATTATTTGACAAAGGAGACAAAAACATACAATGGACTCAAGACATTCTCTTTTAAAAAAAGTGTTGGGGAAAATTGGACAGATTTATACAAAAAATGGAACTAAGCCATACACAAGAATAAACTCAAAATGAATGAAAGACTTAAATGTAAGTCATGAAACCATAAAAATTCTATAAGAAACCATAGGCAGCAAAATTTCAGCTATCTCTCGTAGCAGTATGTTTATAGGTACATCTCCTAGGGCAAAGGATATTAAGGAGAAAATACACAAATGGGACTTCATAAAAATAAAAATAAAAATCTCTTGTATAGCAAAAGAAACCATCAGTGAAAAGAAATGGTAACCATCTGTATGGGAGAATATATTTGCCAATGATATGTTATGATAAAGGTTTAATATCCAACATATATAATGAACTCATACAATTTAACAAAAGGAGGACAATGCAATTTAAAAATAGGCAAAGGACCTAAGTAGACATTTCTCAAAAGTGGACATACAAATGGCCAAGAGACATGAAAAAATGCTCCAAGTCACTAATCATCAGAGAGATGCAAATTAAACAGCTGTTTGCTGTTATCACCTAACACATGTCGGATTTGCAATAAATACCTTGCACACTTATTTAGCCCCCTAGTTTCCTCAGTTGTTAGCATTCTCCAGATTTGCCTTATTCTCTCTAATTTCTATATATATGTACATTATTTTTCTTGAACCATTAAGTTGCTGGCATTATGTCTATTACCTTTAATATATTAGTTCATCCTATATAATAAAAGACTAATATAAAATTGTCCCCTTGTCTGTGAGTTCGACCAGGGGGCAGGGCCCAACTGCCTGTGGCCCCTCCCCACAGCCAGCCCAGCACCATTGGCCCCAATTGGGCTGAGTGGTTCAGATTCCACTTGTGCACGAATTCGTGCACCGGGCCTCTAGTATTTCATAAAAACATACTTTCCTACATACCCACCATGCATCTGATTAACATAAATTTTTACTGTCTAATCCATAGATGAACATCATATTGTTGTTCCCAATAATGTCATTTGTAAATCTGAGATCCAATCAGGATTAGGCATTGCAGTGAGTTCTCATGTTTCTTTGGTCTCCTTCATATCAGAAGTTCCCCAGACTTTATCTTGAAGAGTACAGACTAAATTTTTGTAAAATGGCAGATTTGGGTTTGTCTAGCTTTTCTGAGATTGTTGTAATTTTAGTCAAGAATATCACAGAAAGTGATATTTCCTTAGCGCATCGAGCAGAAGGCACAGTGTTGATTTGTTATTTACTCTTTTTTAAAAATATATATATATTTTTTATTGATTTTTTTTTTACGGAGAGGAAGGGAGAGAGATAGAGAGCTAGAAACGTCGATGAGAGAGAAACATCGACCAGCTGCCTCCTGCACACCCCCTACCGGGGATGTGCCCGCAACCAAGGTGCATGCCCTTGACCGGAATCGAACCCGGGACCCTTCAGTTCACAGACCGATGCTCTTCCACTGAGCCAAACCGGTTTCAGCTGTTATTTACTCTTGATTATAACCTTTGTCACTTGATCAAGATGCTGTCTTCTAATTTTCCCTCTGTAAATTAATATGTATTTTTTGAGGAGCTACTTGAAACTATAAAATATTAATGCGTGAATTTTAATATTTGTTGGAGATGTTAATTTAAAAATAATATAAAATTGATTATTTGAAATTGTTAAAGTATGCTATCATATAAATGGAAGTTGCTAATCTCTGGATTAGCATATATATAAACAAAAGTTTATTTAAACATGCTTACTCAAACAGAGTACAAAAGTAGATGCCATGCAGATAAGCCAGTAAGCTTCAGATATAGATATATTTCTAGTTTTAACTTTTTATTTGATATGCATTTTAACATCAGTATTAGTGCCTCTTTGGTAACTTTCTTTTATAATCAACACTTCTGTAAATATTGTATTGTATACCCTTTGAAATATTAAGATGAAAAGCATCTTAGAAATTATTTATTCAAATTTTATCAAATTTATTTTGACTTAATTCTGTAGACACATTAAAAAAAATTAGAGAAAATTGATGACTTACCCAAAGTTATATATTATGTGAAATGTCATAGGTTGCTATTACAAACATTTGAAATCCCATAAAATCTAGAAATACATTTGCAAGTAGAGAGTTCTTAATTATAAAAGCCAGATAAGAGTTTAAATCTAAGTTCATGAGAAACAAAAAAAAAAAAAAAAAAAATCCCATTTATCATTGCAACAAAATATTAAGATACTTAGGAATAAAGTTAACTAAGGAGGTAAAAGACCTGTACTCGGAAAACTACAAGACACTGAAAAAAGAGATAGAGGAAGACATAAACAAATAAGAATATACTGTGTTCATGGATTGATAGAATCAACACCATTAGAATGTCATACTACCCAAAGGAATCTAGATTCAATGCAATCCCCATTAAAATACCAACGGCATATTTCACAGGCCTAGAACAAACTCTCCAAAAATTCCAAAAATGTGAAATAAAAAACAAAAACCGAATTGCCGCAGCAATCCTGTGAAAGAACAAAGTTGGAGGGGTCACAATACCAAATAGCAAGCTATATTACATACTCACTGATCTCAAAACTGCCTGATAATAGCATAAGATCAGACATATAGCCCAATGAAACAAAACAGAGAAACCAGACATAGACCCAAGCCATTATGCTCAATATTTGACAAAGGAGGCAAGAGCATACAATGGAGTCAATACAGTCTCTTCAATAAATGGTGTTGAGAAAATTGGACAGATATGTGCAAAAAAAAAAAGAAACTAGACTACCAAATTACACCATACATAAGAATAAACTCAAAATGGTTAAAGGACTTAAACATAGACAGGAAACCATAAAAATCTTATAAGAATCCATAAGCAGCAAAATATCAGACACATGTTGTAGCAATATCTTTACCAATACAGCTCCTAGGACAAAAGAAACTAAGGAGAAAATAAACAAATGGAACTACATCAAAATAAAAAGCTTCTGCACAGCAAAAGAAACCATAAAAAAAAAAACAAGAAAGCCCACTTTATGGGAGAACATATTTGCCAATGTTATATCCTATAAGCGTTTAATCTCCAACATTTATAAGGAACTCATACAACTTAACAAAAGGAAGATAATCCAATAAAATTTTAAAAATGGGCAAAGGACCTAAATAGACACTTTTCGAAAGAAGATGTACATAAAACCAAGAGACATATGAAAACTTGCTCAAAGTCACTATTCATCCGAGCGATACAAATCAAAATGACAATGTGGTACTATCTCACACCTGTCAGAATGGCTATCATCAACAAATAGACAAACGACAAGTGCTGGAGAGAATGCGGAGAAAAAGGAACCCTCGTGCACTGCTGGTGGGAATGCAGACTGGTCCAGCTGCTGTGGAGAACAGTATGGAGTTTCCTCAAAAAAATTAAAAACGAAACTGTCATTTGACCCAGTAATCCCACTTCTAGGAATATATCCCAAGAAATCAAAAACACCAATCAGAAAGGATATATGCACCCCTATATTCATAGCGGCACAATTTACAATAGCTAAGACTTAGAGACAGCCAAAGTGCCCATC